TCTAGATTATGTACGTCTAGAAAATGGCAAATGCTCTATGTGTCCCTAACTTGTCCCCATGAACCGAGTTTCTCATGGTTTGGAACGAAACATCTCTAGTGAGAAGATATAGAGTTCCCATTGCTACAAACCAAGTAAAACACCTTTTTCCGAAACAAGTAACTTCAAGCTTTGTAAACCTAACTCCTTAAACTTTATATCTGACATTAATCGCCTCCAAACTATCCACAGTTTGATAATGTATCACCAGCGATCACTTCCCTATCCGAGGACAAATTACAGTTTGCAACTCAGTAATGAGACCCGAAAAGGCAAAACTCCGAGTAACAAAGAAAAAGCTACCCAGATACGCCAAAGTAATTTCACAGTGAGTTCGACCACCACCAGTTCCTGACACAATCGAGAGGGTTGAAGAGTATGCCCAGGAAATTTGTTTCCATCTCACTAATACCATCAATGTAGTAGGAACCCGTCCTCGAGCCAGTTCCGGTAGATCTACTTCGTGGTGGACGTCAGCGTGTAAGTGTCATGGGACTAAGTCCTAGGAATGGCTTAGCGAACTTGGGACTTAAAGACTTCCATGTACATAGTTAGATTTACTCTTTTTATCGCACAACATAGTTGTTGATCCCGACCCATCCAGATCCTGATATTCCCTTAATACATTCCGTGACAGTAAGTAAGCATACGCCAAGTACCAAGTTGCGATAACACCCAACCAACGGGCACTATACGCGAAAAAGCTCCGATCAGTTGTGAAGATCTCGAAAAAAGAGTTCAAAACCCAACAGGTCGAATCAATTACTACGCCGACTGATGTATTCAAGCTAATGAGAATGGGTAACCCCAGACAGGCTAGTATCCCTCCGCCACTGAATCACAATGGGACGTTGATAACAGATCCATTAAACCGGTCAACGATCCTTCGCGATGCTCCTCTAGCACGATATCAGGCATCATACGACTTGTCAAGATGTACAAATACGAGCAGCAATTGGATACCCTGGAAGGAGGACGTCTCAGATGAGGAGGTCCGTGCCTGCACCAATTGGTTACGGAAATACGGCCCCAGAAGCAGACGGAGTCTCCGTAAACCTGCTGGAGGCGTGTTGGAATACAATCGGGCCTTGGATTTCCCAACTGTTCCGAGCTTGCATTCTGCTTGGCACCCATCCAAAGTGTTTCAAATTAGCCGAGGTGGTCCTCCTTCAAAAGAACGATAGAGACCCAACGACAATCAAAGGTTGGAGACCAATCGCTCTTCTCTCATGGTTGGGAAAAGGGTTAGAAAGGCTCTTAGCTAAGCGGATGGCACACCTTGCAGTTATCCATGATGTAGTCCGCCAGCAACAGTTTGGTGCACTGCCGAAGCGCTCAGCAACGGATCTGGTCTCATGTGTGGTCCACGACATCGAAGAGGCAAATTCACAAGGATGGGCAGCTACTTTTGTAACGTTGGACGTTCAAGGAGCATTCGACGCGGTACTCCATAATCGATTAGTGAGGAGGATGCAGGAGCAGGGATGGCCGGAGTCTATTCTCAAATGGACTAGCTCCTTCCTTGCCAATCGGATGGCTCAAGTGCGATACTCTGGGGGAGTCACTCCCAAGAGAGAGCTAGTGTGCGGAGTTCCGCAGGGCTCACCGATCTCGCTACTTCTCTTTCTTCTATATATGGCAGAGCCCATGCGAGCTGGAACCCCAGGTCTGAGGTTTAGCTACGCCAACGATATCGGTATCCTCGGATTTGGCCGGACGATTACAGAGTCTACAGCCGCAGCACAGGACGAGGTCAACAACTCACTAGACTGGGCTCGAAATAATGCCGTCGCTTTTGACACAGACAAGTCCGAAGTCGTACAATTCCCCGGACGATACCGCGAAACATCCGTTGGAATTTATGTCAACGGAACTCTTACAGAGCCGTCGCAAAATGTCCGCTGGCTTGGTGTGTACCTCGATCCTCGACTAAACTTCAAACACCACGTCACAACCTGGTATGGCAAAGCGTTGAAATTTCCACAGCACATGCGTCGCTTCAATACAGCCTACCGAGGAACCGCTCCTGGGGCGTTGGTCAAAGCGATCGACACATGTATCATCCCAATTGCAACATCCGGAGCTGACATCTGGTGGCCTGGCCTCAGACGCCCAACAGTACGAGGGATGGTCACACCACCCACTGCAGGCCTATGTAGCATGATTGAAAAGGCTATCTTAATGGGTCTTAGATCAGCACTACCGGTAAAGAGGATAACCCCCAACGCCGTACTACACAGAGAAGGAGGAATTCCAACCGGAGAAATCATACCCGAAGGAAACCGACTTCGCCTCTCTAGCAGAATGCAAACACTTGACGACCGCAATCCGCTCAGGATCCGTGCTGCAGTTTGCCCAAATGTCGGTACGGGGAAATATAAAAAGCACAATCGAAAATCTGCGCGTCCTGAAATTCAAATGTCACGGGCTCAGCGTGCTTATAGACAGCTACCAGAGGCAGAGGCCGCGGAACCTCTTGCCTCACCATTTTATCGATCGCGGCCGGGTTCGAAGCTTGGTTCGAGAAAAGACCAAGTAGAAGCCTGTAAACTTTGGATCACTAATGTGCCAAAGTCAGAAATCTGTGCTTACTCGGACGGGTCATCAAAAGGAAACTGATGCTCAGCTTAGGGGTACGTCCTAAAGCTGGATGGGAAAACTTTTGTAAAAGGAAGTGGCATAGAGCACGGTGGAGAGGCCTTAGACGTAGAGATTACGGGGGCAAAGGAAGCTCTTAAAGCAGCATTGGGTCACCTAAGAGGGAAGGAATACCAGTTGAATGGAATGATGCAGTGCATCAATGTGTTAATGGATAGTCGACATGCGATAAATGCACTGAGCTCGGGCAGGTCCTCGACCAGCCACGAGGAAGTACGAAAGTTTCGCGGATTATCTGGGCTAGCTCAGGTAAGAATAAAGTTGGTACCAGGACACTCGTGAATACATAGAAACGGGGAAGCAGACGCAACGGCCAAATCCGCCCTACGAACGTTTCCTAGCGTGGAAACTGAGCCAGCAACCACCACGACAGCATTTTTACATCAAAAATTGCATCGCCAACGACAGACTTTGCTCGACAGCTAGTGGAATGAAACTTTCCTGCTACGGTATCATGAGCTAGATCTGCTCATGCGCCGTCGCAAACCACCAGAACTGGGGCTTTCCAGACCACTGATACGAAATCTTATTGCAGCCCGTACAGGCCACGGCAATTTCGCGGCGTACCATCGTCGCCTCAACAATCCACATGCTAACACAGAGTGCATCTATGAGGAGGAAACCACCCCTATCCACTTCAAACATTGTCGACTCAACGCAAACATCACACGTCAAATCAGAGGGTCATTGTCACACAGTCCCTTCCTACAGAAGCTACTCGGACCTAAGTGCTTCGAGAGCTTCAAACAATTTGCGTAGGATACCAATTGTTTTGAGTATTCTCCTATATATCCATCTCCTACTCTTAGTGGAGATCGATTATAACCCGTCAGGAAACTAAGCCTGACTAAACGGGTATCGAGGCGAGGAGCATTGCTTCCCGTTCTAATTTCTTTGAAACTTTTATTTTTGTCGGTTTTGGGGGAAGGAGTTCGCGGCGGCGTATATTTTTAACTAACTGCTGGTTTTGTGGTGGTTTATGCGGTGGAATCAAGCTGGGTCTGTCTTAGATGTAGTTCTGGCTGTGAACACCGGTCCTGTACTCATAGTGGGTTAGGAGCTTTAGCTTAGGACTTTAATAAAACAACAACAACACACATTGAACCTACAAGCCGGCAAAGACGAATTCTTCACCTTCCAGTGGTGCCGGCGTAATCGCTCAGTATGCTCTGCATATATCGGATAGCCCAGAAGAATCGCATCCAAATCAAAGTCGAAAGCACTCACAAGCACATCTAAAATCGACGACTTCTCAACAATTTCAGTCTTGTCATTCTCATGCGGGTCCCCAACCTCAATATTACTACACCACCTCGCCTCAAATACCGATAATGGCGTTACTCAAATTGCAATCGGGCATTTGCCTCATCAAAAACCGGCCATCTCCCACTACACATTTACGGCGCTATGTATACCCGCGAGGAGGAATTCAAGTCATAATCTACAAAGCTCAGGTCTTGGTCTATGAGGAAACGTTGCTCCAATAGGGCTTCACATCTTGAGGGAGAACAGGCAGCTGGGACGTGGGACGTGGGACGAACGAGTGAGGAGGTCACAAATGGGCATGCCAGGACGCACATTGTTCGAGTGTCTTCGACATGAGATTGTCTGTGGGTGCAGAAGCGAGGATTTCGGAAAGTGCAACCGACACTCTAAAAACAGGCAACGATAGAAGGTGTTTTGCTCCGCCTCCTGGTCGTCATCTCCCCGAATTAAAGTCAGGGTAGCCTGGACACCTACCTCACTCGAGAATGGGAGGACTGTGAGGCCACATCTCGCACGGCGGCTTTATACAAGATGACAACGGCATGTTGGGGTAACCAAAGGTTTTTCCTATTTTCCCTTTGGTGGATGTTAACGATTGAGGGAAGGGTGAAAGTCCCTAGCACCAAGGTCTCGAGTGGTATCAGCGAATGCACCCACTACATGAGTAGTCCAAATGTCAAATCGAGTTATTGTCGTATATAGTCGTCGGAGAAGCTAGTCTTCTTCGTGTCATGCTCTTTGAGTACAGGGCTTGTGCCCGTCACGAAAAAACTTTCATTCATTCATTGGACTTACAAATTGTGCTTCTATTTTTGGTTACCATGGCTAATATTGGATTAGTAATCATGGTACTGTTGATTTTTCGGGATCAATAGGCCGTATCACGTCTAATTAGATGCAGGCCAGTGCCTGGCAAGTTAAAATGACAATCAATTATTCAATAAAATAACAAGAAATTCAATATTTTCTATGAACTCCGTCATGAGCTTTTAACTTCGCATTATCAAAGCTGTAGTTGAAATCAGACCAAAGCTTGACTACCGACGATTAGATGAGTCAGTATAAGAAAGCGTCCCTAGACATAATGAGCTGACTTCAGCCATAATCTGACTTCTCCTCCTCGCTAATTGTTCCTTGTTGCAAATTCCAAATCTCTTGCAGATATCTGATAGGGGGATCTCAAGCCAGAATTCTCCAATAAGCTCATCTAGATCTTTGAAGGCGCCCAAATTATTACGAAGAACTGTTTCAATTAATGCTCCATTTTTTTCCTCCATTCCCACAGTAGTTTTTGGCCACAAGATGGTAAGACCTTTCTTTACTTCAAAAACATGCAGGTTCCCAAAGTACCAGGCGAGTACAATCTCGTTTGTTTTATTTCTATTTTCTGCAAAAATCTGGTAACGCGCGACCTCACAAAATATATTTATTTTGTCGTTCATAACTACTTTAATCTCGCTTTCACTACCTGGCGGAGAAAAATGACGATATACCCCTGTAACTTTTATCAAGCCCTGGTATGCAAGGTTAACTATCTCACGATGGGTACATTTTCGAGTATTTCGTAAATTCTTTGATGGTATTGCTATATCATTAACATTCGTATTCCATATATTTTTTATATGTCCCATACAAGCAGAATCTTTCTGCTGAGCTTCGCAAGAATTAAGATAGGACAAACTTTTAAGAGGTACTAGCTCTTTAACAATTATTTCGATTATCTCCATTGTTGATTTTTCAGGTGAGCAGTACGCTTTTAGGTGCGTGGATTTTATGAAGGCTCCATCCTTTGTCGCAGTTATCCCATATTTAGGGTCAATCGTCGGAAAATAGAAATCTGGTATAGGTTCGTAAACGCCATAAAATGAATTTCGACCATGACTGCCCAAGATTACGAGGCGATTGCTGTAGACCGGAAGCTTTATCGTGCTACTTCCTGGAAAATACATGGGAAATTGAGGTGTTGCCCCACGTTGGAGCAAAAGAAGGGCGTAAGCGCAGGGAATCATGGATAAAAAGTTACATATATGGTTGTTTATCCCTGGTAGGCTTATGAAGACGGATTTAACCACAATAGAGTTGCTGATGCTGAGCTATGTTATCTGTAGACATATCGAATGGATGGAACCCCAATTTTATTAAAGGCGGTAGAGATGGATTGAAACATCCCGAAAAAAGACTTCGAGTACCTGAGTGGATACGTTTCGAAGGATCAAATTTTGTCAAGGAAACTCTTGGTAATATTCATTTCACTGGTTAATCTTGAGTCGGGCTTGTTGGATTGGAGAGATTGAGGTATGGGTGTAGACTCTATCGGAAAATGACCAATCAGATTCAAAATTTTGCCGTTGAGATTTGAAGGAGTTGCAAGACCAAGCATCTAGATGTAGCCAAGTGATTTTATCAGCATCAGCTTCTGGCAGAAAGCCTATTTTCTGCTTAATTGTAAACTGGGTTTGGTTAAGAGTTTATTGTGCTACCTTATCCCATGACTATCTTTCTCATTGGACTTCTCTCTGACCCAGGTCACAGTGCCTGTTGATTATTTTTGGATTTTCTTTCCATCATTTTACGTATTCGGCATATCTACTTGTAACATTATCTGTAAGCAGATTTATGCTTGCACAAATCAGGCTCGAGTCCAAAAGCGGAAGTACGATCTGTGTGCAGATATATCGTCTTAGTGACGATTTTCAGGATTAGAATTACATATTTAAGAGATATGATCATGTTTATGCATAGTGTTCAATTGAGTCTATGACGGGGCATGACCCTCAATATCTATTGGCAAATATTGGTGGTATCAACAAACATTTTTATATTAAAATTCAGAGCTTTTCACAGTTTTAGCAGTCCTTCATAGTCACAGACTCAGTAGGGACTTCAATTAAATTCTATTCTGTAAACATACTTATGCTTGCATAAGTCTGGACCCAGTCCAAAAGCGAAAGTACGCTCTGCGTGCAGACATGTCAGACTAGAGACGATGCTCAGGGGCCCTACTAGGGGTAGAATTAGTTATTTCAGTCAGACCCCTGTTAAGACGATGTAATCGGGGCCGTGAAAATATCGTCATGTAGAGGATGTCGTTTGAAAGGATATGATTACCTTACCCAGATATCTACCCTACTTTGTACTTTTAATGCTTCTTGTATACTTCCAATTGCCGTTTTTAATCGCTCTCATACTCTTAAAGTCAGGTCAGTTTCCAGCTCGCTGTCGTAGCGCAGTAGTACTTGGAGCTTCGTCGAGTTTCACAAAGGTCTTGCTCAAGGACTCGGAGACTGGCTTAATCGATGGCCTTACTCAGCTAAGAACCACTCATTGCACTGTCTTTGTGTTGGTTTTGGGACCTGGCGGTGCGCCCATCGTGGCAGAGCACGTCTTTGCTCCACAGAAATTCACTTTTTTGGCGGCATTTTTAGCACCAATCTAGCAAAAAAACCCTGGTTAAGACGATATTCAGAGGTTGAAGAACGATAATCGTGTAATCAGTAAATGTATAAGAACGATGTCCGTTCCGGAAAATATATCGTATAAACGGCAATATCGGCTTAACCATGATCGTCTTAACAGGGGTCTGACTGTATACTGCTCGTAGCACGGAGAATCTAAATCAATCATCCTTGTGTTCGCTTTTACCCTTTGACGATACACGTGATATTCTCACGAAGGTCTCTCTAAGTTTTACATATCCTACTCCATTGAGTCTATAACTACAGGAGAGCATGTAAGTCCTTTCTGTAAGCAGGCCGTGAGTATTCATGTCTCGGAAAGTGTACTCCTTCTCATACCTCCAATACAGCTTCCTTCAAACAGTATCACCTCTCACAAGTCCTAATTCTATCATAAAATTAGAGGAGCCCTTTACCCTTTTATTATCCCCCCTCTCTAGCAAACGAAACGGAGGCCATTTGCGGGTGTATGGCAACCGGGGAAAATCCCAAAAGCCACTGCGTGCGGGGCTCTTCTAATACCGACATTAAGACTAAATCCGAAGACATAGTGATCTTTTTGAAGCGTTTGAAGGGGCCGGCTAGCTGCGCGTAGTAGATCTGTAAATACCTAAAAACTTCTCTCGATATTCATAGCCTCCTTTTTACTCCTCCCTTGACTCATGGCGCAGGACAAACCGAAGGTCGTGAAAGGATGTCAGAAAAGTCTTGATCGAGAGTGACTGCCATGAAGGAGCCTAGCCTAGCATCCAAAAGTAGCTACGGACGTGGAGTTGTCGAGTAGCTCATGTATTTTAGAAGCTCTCCTGACTAGTATATTCGGAATTGCAGGTAAGAGACGATATAATCGACGGGTCCAAATGTGTTTTTCTTGAAGGTGGAAGGTTCATTTACTTTGCCTTCTTAGTCTTTTTGTTTGCTCGCTGGTAGATTGCACATGTTGTGATATGACGAGGGCTTTTCTGACTACCGTTGTAGCGTTTGGTACCTCAATATCTTTCCTCATTCCCAGGATCATTATCGTCGGCATGGTCATCTTATGAGCTATCGGGAGCGTATCTTTGACGGAGCGGAAGATAACTCAGTCAAAGCTGAAAAAGTGATACTCAATATTGGCTCTGCAGACTCTATATTGAGAGCTGGATGTTCGTAGGGGACACCACTGACAGGTGTTGAGTTTCATCCCCCACCCACTAGTGTGTAGACCCCTTGCAAAATGAATTTGATTTCATTATCCTGATCTGGCGCCTTAAGAGCCCATGCAGGTGTCTATCAAAATTTCTAATTTACACAGGAAACCTTGCCGTAAAAACCCCTTCATTAATGTATGTTAAGGAATTTCCTTACACTCAGATAAGATAAACAATCCAATAAATAGTAAGTTTAAATCAATCTATATTATTCATGCTCAAGAAAACTGGCAAATATCCTCAAGTTCGTTCATCGACTAACGTCCTAATAGTAGAAAATGCGAACTATACTTATGTCAAGGCTGTAGTACCCCTTCTATACTTTCATTCCAACGGTGCTTCATTCCAGTTCGGTATAATCTTTAAACAACATTTAACTGTGGGCCATGAACCTGTTCTTGTTGAAGATTTTTGATTTTCAACTCACATACGTGCTTATGCCCTACGGACAAATAACTATACTCAAGAGCATGGGTGACCAGCAATAATTTCAAGATGCAGTAATCAAAATTCCACTGTTTGATCTGCACATTTATTTTTCTAGCTTATCGCCTAAGTATCTAACCCCTTGACGCAAATCCAAAAGATAATGGGGACTATGATGTTGTCGTTTCCACCGGTGACAATTGCTTCGGTAAGGCTTGCTAAACATGCTGCTGAACTGGCTTTCCCTACTGTTATCAACCATGAATCGTCATTATTTGAAGGCCAACCACCTATTCTTAGCCATGCCTTAGCCATCACTAAAGCACTCCCAACAGCAACAACAAATGCAATGCTTCCTTCAATACTTTTCCCACCTCCCCAGAACCATTTATGTCGGCCATATCTTCGACCAACTAATGACGCAGCCGCATCACCCATTCCAACACATATGACGCCGCTAACCATACTTACTTCTCGAAAAGGAACGTCTAAAGTTTGAATCATATTAGAGTTCCGAAGAAGAATAGAGCCGAGACTGAGCCAGAGAGGAACTGAACAGCCAGTGAGAAGAAAGAGGTGTGAAATAACAACCGGTCCTTTGAGGTCTCTTCCATCAATATATGGCTTAAATAAACTAGTTAGTGGTTTGGCAAAGGGGGGAAGCCAGGAAGAACGAAACACCTCAAGCAGCAGAAACATAGCTATAATAACGGACAATGAAAGTGAAGTGAATATGGGGTCTAGGTATGTTGTTGGTAAAAGCATTGCAACCATCATAAAATGAAATATTTTTCGACGGGTATCAATCTCATACCTCCTTGATAAGCGGAAGACAATGCTTAAACCTGAAGAGGTAACTGCTAGCCAGTAGCAAGATATCATGAGCCGAATGTTTCCACGGCCAATGGAGAGGCAGAGTCTTTCAAGCCAGCTTTTGGAGCACGCTTCTGCTAGGTTTATTTCATTGTGAGGGAGTGGAATCCATCTTTGAAGATTTCTTGTGACAACGTAGAGTCTAAAGTTGGCTAGGTCCCCTAAAAAGTATCCCAGTACCCAGCCAATCGGTTCGTGACCTGATAGCGCATACTTTCCGATGTAAGGTCTGATACCAATCAAAGCGATGACAGATGTGCATGAATAAACATATACGCCATAGAGCCACATCCTAAGATTAACTTGTGTAGATGTTAATAATTTTAATCGCTGAGAACTTTGACCCGTGGTTTTTCGTTTTCCAAACGATTGTTTCCTTGTCAGCCTAGAAGAACTGTAAGCGTCAGCTTTTCTCTGATGCGTGACTTTCGCCAATTTGATATTTTCAACAGTCCTCGATTTACACTTTGAGCTCTCATAGTTTGATACAATTCCTGAAAGACAAGATTTCTTATCAATTGGTGCCAAGCTATTAACATTCCAAGTTTTCGATGAGTTTTTGGAAAATATTTTTCGAGTACCCAGGATTAGTTCTTCATCACTCGAAGTATTTGTATGAGAATTCTTAACAAATCTAGAAGGCATGGTGTTTTTGAGAATAAAATACTTTCGAAATAATCTCAGCCACTTGTTTTTGGAGATACTTGAGCCTTTTGCTTCTCGTCTCATGCGCCACTTTGGCACTACTGAAAGCATCATGTTCCATTTGAGAACTTTACTACAGCTAAGTAATAGACCCACACCCCATCCCCAGAGTAGTGCCTTCAGTACAATGGCTGGCAGAGATTTGGAGTGCAGAAGTAAGCTTACAAGCGAGATCGAAAGTAGCTGTAGTTCGGCTGGGAGTAGACTAGTGGTGGTCAAGTATCTTAGTGTAGTACATAGAGCTTGATGTAACGGAGGAATTAAAGCTAGTACTTCGGGATCAAATGGAAGCACCGGTGCTTGTATTTTACCTGATATTGATATGTGGCTGTGTAATGATTTGCTAAGAAATAAAGGAATAAGAGAGATAATCCAATGAAGAGTATTTATATTTCCTGGTTCTTCGAATGAAGGTACGATGACGCGGGGAATCGATGAGATCGCAAGGCTAATACTTGGTAAGAAGCCAAGTGGCTCTTTCTTGAAAATGATTAATGATACCAGAATTGTTATACATGAAGGATATAATAGTGGTGCAGGGTCAAGCACTGTAGGTTCAATAGAATAGGTTGTTTTTTTCGAAGAATGGACTAGTCTTCTCTGTCGAAGAAGAAATTTTGTAGTGTACATTAAAAGTAGAAATATGGTGATAATGAACTGGCAGAACAGCTCTAGAAAGGTCAGTGAGGGCTATTACTGCGATTTCGTCGACGTACCTAGTTTGTGTGTATTTAATAGTTTCTGAACCTCTGTCTCATGAACTACAACACTACACAAAGTTAGGAGTATTCCGACCTCAAGAATTCGCCGTATATATGCTGAGGATCGATTTAGACGAAGTCTTCTGTTCAGTTCTTCTTTGATATTGGTATGTAGAGTGTTTGTTTGACCGATACATTTTCTGGAGTTTTGGAGTTGTTGGTCTCGGTTGGAATCGATATTTTCTAATGTTGTCGCAGAGCTTACAGAACATGAAGAACCTAATTGTATATTCCCTGTGGATTTTGATTCTGTGCCATACCGGAACATCACAGCAGATTGATATTTTGGAATCGTCTCATCGTCAGCTTCCGAGCCGCTGTTAAGAAATTGCGAGCAGTCACGTCTAGGTGAGCGTAATCTGTGGTCTCTATCAACTCCATGTGTCGAAGGTGAAGGAAGAGCTGTTATACTAGACTCCAACTCTTCATAAATTTGGGAGCTTTGAGGTGGTAGATTGATATGAGGAGTAGTTGGTTTGGGTTGAAGGAGAGGCTCATTTTCGCTGCTATTCGATTGCGTATTTCTGTTAGGCTGCTCAGGCATGGCGGGCTTTGGCCCCTTCGTCTTATGTCCCCGGAATCTAAATCACATTTCTGGACGCTGAATACGCACGACTCCAGAAATGGTGTCTGTCGATAAAACCTAGTGAAGGCGATGTGCTAGATATATCAAGAGTTCCTGAATTGTCAAAGTACGCGAATTATCAACATGAATCATGTGTCAGCTTCAACTGATCGACCGGTCCACAAAACAAAACTTAGCTAATGTGGACCCGATGACAATATCAAAAAGAATGACAAATAGGGTTTGACTAAGATAACCGTTAGTTAGCTTGCTGCAATTACGGTGAAGCTTTGAGTAAGTTATTGTGTTACTTAAGTCTGATTATCTAGCAGATTGGGCTCTTTACTGACCTAGGCCATACATTGTACGGCTCTCCTATTTTCTTTTGTTACTTCAAAGATTATAGATATATTGCTCGTGATGAAAAGCCATCCAGTCTAGTATTTACCCGTGGAATTTAGCTATTTTTTTTATGGAACCTTCTATTCAAAAAAATAGCAGCAATGTGTGATCTGTTTTTTGTATTACTTGAGTCATAGACTATCTAGCACATTGGGCTCCTCTATGACCCAGGCCTCGCCTTATATAGTGCTCTTTGCCTCTTATGTTTCATGAAAGATCATAAATGGCTGCAATTGAAATTGCGTGCGCGGAAAATAGTCTCAATAAACCTGCAGCCCCAGCCAGGCGAGGCCTAGACACCTGGACCACATGAGGTGCGCATATTTATCTATATCTTCCTTCTTTGTAACGTTCAAGGCCATCTTGATCCAATCCACCATCTCCGTATCGGGTACTAGATACGCTCTGGAAACTCATCGGATGGCTTTTCCTCCGTGATCAAGGGTTGGTGCTGAGTTGTGATCCGTGGATCCTAAACGTAGCAGGCTACATTATGTAACATGTACTACTAAATGCGGTTAGCCTATAATTAGTAAGCTACGCACAAAGTGTAGATTTCGGAGTTGGGAGTCAGGAAGAGACATAGACAAATTTATTAGTACAAATGCTCAACTATTGCATTCTGCAGAACTAGCTGTAGTAGAGCCGCGAGTTACATTTGTCACCATCCTTTGTTAATTGTGATCGATCGAAACCCACAGCTCCACCGTAACATCTGATCTGATCGTGGTTAGCTTCATGATAATGGTGATAGGGGGATGTGTTGGGAGGTGAAGACGATACAGATCGCGAGACTATTTGAGAATCTTAATGTGAGTGAGAACGAAGGTGATACTCAATCTCGGCTCTGAAGACTCTACATCAAGAGCTGGAGGCTCGTAGAGGACATCACTGACAGGAGATGGGAATAGTGACCCGCCATCCGATAAGTTTCTTAGCGTACATCTACTAAGGAAGGGCGGAGGAGAGCAAAACTGAACACCTGTACGCGGTGTCCTCTACGAACCTGGGAGTGAAACATTCTCCCAGAGCCAAGTTTTGTCAAATTTCGCAATGCTAAAGAAGTTGGCCCACGAGTCAATGATTCGAAATACTCAACCATGTCAAATTTTCAATCCCAAGGAGATTTATTGCTACCGAGGCCTTATCAAGTTTGCGAGTGCGACCTAGTATATCCTTATTTCAATAATGACGCCTCTCTTCGACTTTTTCTGGCCTTAGCTAGCCATAATATTTAAGTTTTCTAGAGGAAACAAAGCGTGGCGCACAAATCTACGATACTGTTTTTTGAGATGGACGCTAGAGGGACTAGGATAAGTTTACAAGATGATGCAAAGGAAGGATACAACCTCGAAGAAAGTGAAATTCCGAATTTTGGCGAGGAGTTTCACGAATTGAGCTTTGTGCGCGCCAAGACTTCGCCTGCGAGAGTGCAGCTGACACTATAAACACAAGCCAACGATGGAAGGTGTTGTGATCCGCCTCCTGGTGATGTTCTCTGGTATGGTTTGAGTAGCCTGGGCACCTACTCCACTTCGGAAGGAGACACCTAAGACCACATTTCGCGCGGAGAAAAGTTGAAAGATGATGGAGGCATATCTAGATAACTCAGGGTTTTTGAGACGTTACCCTGGGTCGGTATTCACGGATGAGGGTTGACTTGGGGGGAAGAAAAAGCTGCCATAACTTCGCAATGGTACTTGCAAATGAAATCCAAGGCATGAATGCCCTCCTTTAATATTGAGTCATCTTTCCTGTATTTTTTCTCTGATATTTTGTCATAGCTAGATAGCTGCATACGCATTTCAAATCTGACACAAAAAAAAGGGGAAGGCGGTCTTGCTTGTAGAACCAAGGTAGAGAACTTTAGTGATCTAATTACATTACAAGATTGAGCTAATACCGTTTACAAAATCAAATCAAAACACAATTACAAAAACACAACCACAGAAACTTTTGAGCGTGACATCATCTAATAGCAGCGAGGATGGGACATGGCGACTTCAAGGGCTACCATGATAGATTCAAGCACGAAAATTCAAACGGCAGATGTATCTGTAGGGGGGAGAAACGTCCTTGGCGCTTCGCAGGGTGCCGAACGACTCTGAAACAATGGAGAATATACAGACATGAACCAGCACCAAGAGGACGGATTGTGTTGACAGAAAACGGATGGGAGAAATTATGTAAGTACATAACCGTAACGAGATGTTACGGAGGGCAATTTTCACATCGAAAGGGTCAATCTATCTCGAGAGACTATAATCTTTTAACAATTGTATGTGAAAGAGGGCAAGGTGTAGGACTTTTTTTTAATAGGCAATATTCTTTATCTATCCTTTCATGTATTGACTCGGCCTAGAAAACTGGACCGATAGGTAGAAGTGAGTCTTTAGGGATCACACACCCGTATCATGCCTCATAGGATTAGGGCTTTTGCCTGATATGGTATTAATACATAGATACATATAGAAACTTTTGCGAAGTTTATATTTAGACTAGAGCAATCCAGTCGTCAGATACAGAATAATTTTCCCTAAGACAAAGATGTATCCGAAAGATATTGTACTTAGAATTATGCTGAATGTAACACCATATATCTCGTGGAATATCAGAAATATACACTTAACTAGCTAGGACATCCAATTAATTACTACATTTTCCACGAATCACAGCTACCATGTATTGGAAATAGTTTCCTCCAATCCAACCAATCCTACCAATTCCACACTACGCTACGTTTTTGTTGATCCACGTGCTCTATAAGACAGATCAAATGAAGCTGCCTACATGTCAGGTTACTAAGTCTAACAGGCGGCTTCAAGGAGAGATAGATCTTTCAGTTCAGAAACCTGCTAGATCTACCTTTAAGTATGTCATTATTCTCATTAGATTGATCTTTCTCGGCGTAATTAAACGAAGAACTAATATATTTGAAACTCGATCCATCCAATCGCTATAAAAATGATTATTTTACAGTAACAAAGTTCGCACGAGTGAATGAATTACGCCGCTGACTGTTTTTGTCGATAAAGTAGTTGAGTTGCGGTATTGACATGAGCTCATAGTGTAGCTGAAAATTTTCAGCGCTGTAGTTCAAGGCTTATATACTATCTCTAATATTAGCATTAGAAAACTGCAGATTGAGAAAAAAAATTATTTTCTTAGTTTTTGGGTAATATAGCCATAGACTAGTAGAATGAAATTTTATCCGAGGACGAAGATGGAAACTGTTTAAATTGTTGGCTTTGTTGATGGCATAACATTTTGTCGCCACCGCTCTATCATATCTATTTGCCCCTGTTGAGGTGGTTGAGGAATTGGTAGACTTGTTGGTGGTATATTCATATTTGAATTTGGGGTGAAGCCTAAGAGATTGGACGGTATATTGGTTGCCGTTATTGGGTTGTTAGTGCAATTCACTCCAAAATTTATGTTTGTCGGAAGTCCGGTCATTTTTGAAAGCGCATTTTGCGGAGCCAAGTAGCCTGGATTAGGTTGTTGAATAACCATTTGGTTACTGAACTTGCCTGAACCGTATGGAACCTGTTGTGACAGCTCCATTCCCCCATTTCCGCCACCGCCATTACCGTCATTGTACAGCCCGGCTTTAAATCCATGAGTTGAAGATTGGTGGGTTAGTGAAGGTTTTTGTATTGAATTATGGAGAGCTGAGGATACATCAAAGCTGTGCATACAGGCTGATCGACGAGCTACTTGTTTTTCATGCATCGCAAGTAATCCGCCAATGGGCTGATCGTAACATTTCTGAGCAACATTAGTTGAAGCCGGATGTGCGGCTAGTATATCTGCCATGCTTCTTCGATGTTGTAAATCAGGTTTAGGTGTCTGTCGTGATGGTATTCGTAGGTTCACATTTTGTTCCCGGGTTTTATTTTCTTGCTCTGCTTGAAGCCGTTTCCGGCGTTGGCCTAGTGTCTCTTCTTCATCTCCAGGCCTTGGAGAAGTAATTGGGTTTTCGTTTCCTTTTGGCTCAGCGGTGTTTCCACCGAATTGTCCAAGAACACCATTAGAAAAGTCTTCGCCCGCAGTTAGAGGAGACGCAAGGTTCGCATTCTTAGCTTTAAGCCGCTTTGCCCTGTCACCGAGCGTCTCCTCTTTTTCTTCTACAGAAAAAGGCGAGGGAATATTACTCTTAGAATTTACTCGAGGTGAAGCTGGATTTCGACCTTGGAGTCGATTTCTCCTCTGACTGAGTGGTTCGTTATCTTCTAGCTCACGGCGTTCTAATAGACCTAACGGACGGTTTTCAGCTGCTTTCATCGAATAAAGCATGGCAAGGGGAACCTCATCATCTTCTTGCATAGCTGCTTCTGCTTCTAACGCCATTGGATCTTCCCAAGCCAGAACAGTTCGATATTTTCTCCGAGATTTTTGCTCAGTTTGTATGGCGGTATCCAGCTCTAGTAGAGTAGAGTGAATACCATTTGGAAAGGTTTTCGTTAAGGGTTGGGTTCGTTGTTTCTGTCGCTGCTTACGCAAGTGTAGTTCAGCTAGTAGCGTTGTAGGTGGGTTTTGATATAATTCGTCCTCATGCTCATCATCATGGTTTTCGTCAATAGATTCACAGAGTAAATTTTCGCCTGTCTCAGATTCTTGTCCATTTATGGTTTCCATAATATTTGAGTCTTCTCCGTTCTCATGATTTTCTTGGGCGGAAGGTGATATAGTTAGGACTGGGTTTTTGGATGGGTCTATCTTTTCTCCACTTTTGTTTTTCCTAGAAAAAAATAGACCCCCAAAGGAGCTTACACGTTTTTTGGGGGGTTCTACTACTTGAGATGTCTTAGGGCGGCTCGATACAATTTTTTTCCCATACACCTCGGGACCCAATGCACCAGCGAAGGCATGATCCGTGAATGCGCTAACAGGCGCATGAGCTGAAGCATCTAAGATGCTATCTAGAGTAGCTACCGCTGACTGATCTTTCAGTTGAACGACTGGCGTAGGACTACTCTGTGTCTCAAAGAACGTGCTAGCTCGTAGTTGAGGAGGCAGGTTCGCGAGGTCTCGAGTGATACGCTGGGTAGCTGTGCTGACTCTATTAGTTGTGTAGTTTTGTGAGAAAAAATCACGCGCATGACTCTCTTCGCCAGCTTCGGCAGCATTAATTTCAGTCATATTGTACGGGAGATTTTGTCTGGATCCATTCATGTTATCAACTTGTGATCTTCTATGAGAACGTGATGCTGATGGCGGCTTGTTGGACAATTTTTGCGGAAGATTTAGCATTATCGGCACTGGAGCAGGGTAGTATACCATTTGATGACCCGTTGTTGGATCTGTGTATGATTGTGGGTCTACAACAATAGATGAAGTTGACATTCGATCTTTGGTGACTGACGACAAGAATTTGCTTTTTGTTGCATCTTTTAATTCTTTCTCACTTCCAACACTATTGTAAAGCTTATGTGTGGAGCTCTGTTCAGAATGAATGCCATCAAAATTCGCAAACATTTTCTCAATTATATCAGTTGGAACAATTTCTGATCTAGGATTTACTTGGCTTCCTAATTCTTCAGCCTGTTTACTTGCTTCACTTTCATGCCCAGCTCCTGTTATATTACCGGTATTGTAGCTCTCTCTTATCTTTGTAGTTGGTCGAGTGGGAGTTTCTGACCCATCCGCAATGTTCGGTATAGCCTTCGTGTTCGAATACTGTGAAAGTGGAGAATTTAAATTCGATTCATTGGCAGAGGGATTTGATTGCCTCTTACTATTTTCTGGTATAGACCTAGGTATTCCCGGACCCTTAGAATATGTTCGTGTTCGTGCGGATTGCAGTGTTGTCACAGGATATTCTAAGGACTCTAAACTCGCTACAGGTGGGAAGTCTTCTGAGAGTGTGGTATTGTTTTGTTCAATAATGGATGGCATATCAGATGTATTACGGGAGTGAATTGGTTTATCATATGATGACAATGAAGAACATCGGCTGTCTGACTGTATCTGTTTGTCATGAAGCTTTTGAATAGCATCTTCAATAGTCGAAGTTATACTTAGGCGTTCCGCTGTTCTCTCTAGATGCTCGACAGTTCCTGCGTAGGCACCCTGCAAAGTCTGTAGGTCAGGAGTAGGATGTTGAAGCGTCGTAGGGCATACAGACGCCCCTAAAAGGAAATCCTCGTCCATTACCCGGTCATTAGACTCTGCAATCAGTGAATGTCGAGATCTGTCGGAATGGGAAGAATTTGGCAAGTGTTTTGAAACAGAGCTTAAATATATATCAGGCGGTATTGCCTCATTGGTTTTTATCAAAGAACTGTCGAGCCCTTTATTTCTATTTAAATTATTTTTGTAATTAAACGAATCTTGTTCATCGAAATTTGACTTTGATTCGTTGTAAACAGGATTGTCTTTGACTGAAGTTAAGGTATCACTGTTGCCAGTCTCGGGCTTGCTTTCGAAGCATGGGCTTTCCCTTGACGATATAGCCATTGATTTGTAGACATGACTCTCGTGGTCAGTACCCATATCTTGAATAACCGATTTGTGTTGCATCTCAATTAAAACAGCTTGTCATTTGTGTTAGGTAGTGTTTATTTAGCTTTGCAATCTGGAAAGCTACGTCCTAAATTGAGCTAGACTTTACACTGAGGTTAGAAAAAATAACATAAGAAAAATTCGAATAGTCTTTCTCAAAGGGAGGACTCTCACATTTTAGATTTATAATAAATTATGCCAAATGCTTGCTGTCATATGTTCGATTTACTAATTAAATTGGCATGGGCCTTTGAGCTTTCACATTGGCTAATCCGATCGACACCTACCTACTTGAAAGGTTTTGTTGAGTAAATTTAAAGAAAATCTTCTCACTCTGTACGAACCGTAACGACTGCACAAGTTTTTGCATGACTCCATCAATTTCACTAACCATTACTAGACAACAGTGAGTCCGGTCCGCTCTCGCAGGAAGCATTTTATGATAAGTACTCCAGTAAAGCACGCTGAATTGTGACATGGGTATTGAAGGGGTAAATCTGCTAATTAAAGAATGGACAAAACTTTCACTTTCTTTTTGATCAATATGACACGGAGTATTGTGAGCTGCAAACGGCGAAGCCCAAGAACCCTTGGCTCTTGATGACTGAGCACTTTTCGTGAACTATTGCTATAAGGACTAGACCGAGTAGCACAAGTAAAGTTTGATTATGGATGAACAAAAACACTTGTAACTATGAAATATAAAATATCAGAAAGCTTTTTGATCGATTGGATTCCAGATTTACTTCAAAGTTTCACATTTAGCTATCAGGAATGAAGGAATCATTATCAAAACGACAAACATGATGCTATTTTTTGGATCTCATGACCTCCACGTACTCAAAATTATACACATAGTACTTCACAACTGAGGACGAAGGCTGAATATCTACCGGAAATGTCATCTTGGAAAATTGTTGTAAAAAATTCCCTCTGAGCTGCAATTCATCCGTGATGAAGGGTAGAAACAAGAATTTTCATGTCGGCGACAACTTGGAGGAGTGACTTTGGCAAGTTTTTGGACGAAAGTCCAGATTCCTGAGATCTGACGAATTCACAGATTATAGACTTGTCTCATCAACATTTTAAATACGAGATACAGACGGTCTTAATCTACCCTTTCTTAGTATTTAATATGTCTAACGTCCTCTACGACTTTCATTTTACTGGAAAAATTTATCAACAAAAATCATCACAACATCTAATGAAGCAATTAAAACTCAGGGATCAATGTAGAAATCTAACACATAACGAGCGCCCCCTCTGCTGCATCGCGCCTCTAAGGTATGATATAAATGTCAGTCCTAAATGCGGCTCTACCTCGTCTGAGGTCACTATTAAATCGATGTGCGATGGATTGCTACCGATCAAATTAGTACTAGCTTCGCTAGAATATCAACTAAAGTACTCAAAAAATACTTTGGCTCTGACACCTTAGTCTTGAGGTCTTCAAGGTATATTCGCTCTCCATGCTCAGATTTCCGACAGTGACGTCGCAAAGCTGGAGGGATGGGAGGCTAGCAAAGTTTCTGAGATAAACTGATTTAAAAAAGGAGAAATAAAATACAACAATTAGGAAACAACAGGAAAGAGAATTTGAGAGGAGCTCGGCGGACAATTAGACAAGGCCTCTATTGAAGAAAATGACCCCCGAATAAGATGAGATGATGATGAGAGGTAAGCACATGAAATCGAAGAAAAGGATATTTGTAGTTTAGGATTTTGCCAGGGTTCGGGAGAGTGATTGTAGAAACTGAAGATGAATTTGCGCTTCGCTGCGTTAAAATCGGAATCCTTGAGTTTTTTTAAGTCATTTAATGTGTATGCAGCTATGACACATGACCAGTACTATATATACATGTAAGATGACTCTTTTCACGTTATAGGCACTCATACTCTGGATTTTATTGCAAATACGACTATGAGGTATGCTTGCTTTCACAAACAACCGACCCTCCTCCGTAAGTACCCACTAAAGGCAAATTCAAAATCATTGATGATCCAAGCATGTTTTCGTCGTCCATGCACACCAGCGCCGCAAGAAAAGTGGTTGTGTTTTGCTGGATTTGAACCAGCAATCTCCTGTCTCAAGTGGGGTGTGTACCAGCTATCCAGAATCTACTTGGAAGACCGGCCACGACGATGTACCACCGCACTATTCAACCATGGAGGTGTTTGTTGTTCTGCCAACACTCTCGCAACTGAAGCCTCGGGGCGTACGAAGCTCAACTCGTAAAACTCCTTGCCAAAATTCGAGATGTAACGACTGTCGAGAATCTATCCATCCTCTGCATCATCTTATGTGGTTGTCCTCATACTTCCTACGTCCGTCACAAAGAACTGTCTCCCAGATTTGTGCGCCACGCCTTGCTTCCTCCGTCGACTTTAAATATCGACGTGGGCGTGTATTAGGTGACCAGGCTACTCAAACTATACCGGAGAACACCGCCAGGAGGCGGACCACAACACCTTCCATCGTTGGCTTGTGTTTATAGTGTTAGCTGCACTCTCACAAGCGAAGTCTTGGCGCGCACAAAGCTCAACTCGTGAAACTCCTCGCCAAGCTTCGGAATTTCACGTTCTTCGAGGTTGTATCCTTCCTTTGCATCATCTTGTAAACTTATCCTAGTCCCTCTCACGCCCATCCTAAAGAACTATCCCCCAGATTTGTGCGCCACGCTTTGCTTCCTCCGTCGGGAGTAAATATCGGCGTGGGCGTTTATTTGGTGGTCAGTGGAGGCCAGAGAAGGACGAAGAGAGGTGTGATCATTGGGATGAGGATGTACTTGGTCATATTTGTAGACTTGATGAGGCTTATGTAGGAGTCGATTTCGTTGGGAGTGAAAAAACGACGTGGTGGAGTAATTTGAATCATTGCCTCGTGGGTCAACTTCTTTGTTAGTGCGAAATTTGACCGAACTTGGCTCTGGGAGAGTATTTCACTTCCAGGCTCATAGAGAACACCACGTACAGGTGTTCAGTCTTGCCCACCGCCATGCCGGTAATGCTGCCTGGATTGCCTTGATAATCGTGCTATCCAGGAGATCAGTATGCCAGCCGGTTCCCGTGCTCACTTTCTTGCTCCGATTAGTGGTGACCCGGGTCAAGCTCAGCCACCATGCTATGGCTCCATACATCGCTGTATTTATGATACATGCCTGTACTGCTTTGTTCATTGCCTGCGGGCCAGCGCCCCGTTTAACGCTGTTGATTCGCCGTATAAACTGCATTAGCCTTTGAGATTTCCTACATCACTCTTGCATTTGCTACTTGAAGTTGAGTTGAGAGTCTATCAATACCCCAAATCATTTGATATGTGGGCTTTGGTTTGGTTTGTTCATTAACGTGCTAGGTAAAGTGTATACCGTTGCACTCCTACTGGAGCTTAAGCACGGGTGGGGCCGGGCTGGATTAGGTTAACTTATTGAAATGTATAACCCACTACTTAGTTCGTGGACTTTATTGGTAAAGGGAAGCTTATGCAATAATGAAGGATAAAAGGATATCAATTCGACTACTCTTCTAAACACAGGTGCCAGACTCATTTTAATCCCAATAGATAGCCCGTGCGGGATCTCCTATTAACAGCAGTAAACAACGCTAGCACAGGGAGGGCAAAACTAAACACCTGTACGTGGTGTCCTCTACGAACCTGGTAGTGAAATATTCTCCCAGAGCCAAGTTCAGTCAAACTTCGCAATACCGAACAAGTTGGCCCACGAGGCAATGATTCATATTACTCCACCACGTCAAATTTTCACACCCAACGAGATCGATTCCTACCTAAGTCTCATCAAGTTTACAAGTACGACCTAGTACATCCTAATCCCAATGACCACACCTCTTGTCGACTTTCTCTGGCCTTAGCTGGTCACCAAATATACGCCCACGCCGATACTTATACCCGACGGAGGAAGCAAAGCGTGGCGCACAAATCTGAGAGATAGCCCTTTGGGATTGGCGTGAGAGGATTAGGGATAAGTTAACAAGATGATGCAACGAATGGATACAGTCTCGACGGGCGTGGAATTTTGAATTTTAGAAAGGAGTTTTTACAGATTGAGCTTTGTGCGTGCTAAGTCTTTGGTTGCGAGAGTGCAGGCGACACAATAAACACTGCCATGGTTGGATGGTGCGGTGGTACATCGTCTTGGCCGGTCTGCCAATTAGAGTCTGGATAGCTTGGACACACATCCCACTTGAGGCAGTAGATCGCTGGTTCGAATCCGGCAAAACACAACCACATTTCTCGCGGCGCTGGTATGCATGGATGACGAAGGCATGCTTGGATAATCAAAGGTTTTTAAATTCCCTTTGGTGGGTACTGACGGAGGAGGGTCGACTGTTTGTGTAAGCAAACATACCTCATAGTGGTATTTGCAAATGAAATCCAGAGTATGAGTATCTCTAACGTCAAAAGAGTTATCCCACATGTATACATAGCGCCGGTCATGTGTCATAGCTAGATAGCTGAATACACATTAAATGATTTAAAAAAAAAAATGCCAACACGGGGAGGACAAGACTGAACACCTGTACGCGGTGTCCTCTACGAATCTGGGAGTGAAATTTTCTCCCAGAGCCAAGTTCAGTCCAATTTCGCAGTATCAAAGAAGTTGCTTGAGGCAATGATTCAAATTACTCCTCCACGTCGTTTTTTCGCTCCCAACGAGTTTGATTCCTACCTAAGTCCAATCAAGTCTACAAGTACGACCAAGTACATCCTAATCCCAATAACCACACAGCTCTTCGACCTTCTCTGGTCTCAGTTTACCACCACATACACGCTCACGCCGATATTTACTCCCGATAGAGGAAGCAAAGCGTGGCGCACAAATCTGGGAGACAGCTCTTCGGGATGGACGTGAGAGGGATCAGGACAAGTTGATAAGATGATGCAGAAGATGGATACATCCTCGACGGGCACGAAATTCTGAATTTTGGCAGAGAGTTTCACGAATTGAGCTTTGTGCGCGCCAAGACTTCGCCTG